AAAAAAAATGGAAACGAAGTCTATGTAAATAGGGAAGGGTGGAGGGGGTGAAGGGTGCACAGGTAATGGGGAAAAAATAAGAACCAAGATACATCATGTGCAGGTACAGGAACCCAATGATAAATGTAAACAAATTATATACCTAAAATGTACCAATAAAAGAACTTAAGAATAAAAAAAAAATTATTTTGCCTTTTGTGTAATACAGAATCTCATGACAGTTAAGTATCAAAACAGGAAGAAATAACTATTTTTGTAAGCTACTTGTTAGGACTTGGATCTTAAATGACCCCCCATTCTCATACTAAATAAAATCTTGATTTGTAAAAAAAAAAAAAAAAGAGGCATCCATGTAAATTTCTGAATGAGACAGGCAGAGGACCAGGGCAGAGGTACTTAGCTTTGAGGAGGCATCACAGCAGACACTGACATCTGGTGGTCAGTGATAAAGGTGCCGGCTGAAGCAGCCAGCCCTAGGAAGATGCCCGTACCCTCAAGGGTATTTGCTGGAGAAAGCCCAGGGCCTCTTTGAACATTGCTTCTAGCTATCTCTGACCAAAAGATAACTTTTTGGGTTAGTGTACTTTTTTTTTTTTTTTAAGCCTGAAATACCTTTCAAAGATTTAGCCATTAGATACCCTTACAAACATCATTTTTGCAATCACTTTTAAGACTGAAACAAAAATCCAAAACCGATTGCTAGCTTGTTTTATACAAATTGAATGTTCACCCATATGTCACATTCATTTTTTAACTCTACTACCAAAAAAAAAGGTCAAAACAATTCTAGTACTGCACAATTTCAGAATGCACTTGTAATTTGTCTAAAACTAATTCTGCTAATACTTCTCCTTCAATAATGAAAAATGGCTGTTGGGGCAGGGAAATTTTTAAGGATATGTGCCTACTATTCAACTTCACGGTAGGAAAATCAGTTAAGTCCCATTTTCTCTTTTCCCTGTCCACGATCAGGAATATGCAAGAGATCCAGAGCTGGGCTAGCATGGTAGGAGGGAAGGAGACTAGTTATTTCTGTCTAGGGTGGGTTTCAGTAACAATAATTAGAAGCAGCTTGTTTCTCAGGTGTGGAGTTCTGGTATTTAGTTTTATTTAGGAACTTCTCTTTAAGGGCTAAAGAAACATTTTAGCTACTAAATGATATTCAATGATAACCTTCCAAATTTAAGAATTCACAGGACTAGCAAAAATCTCAAGTTTCCACTTAAATGTGTGTTCAGACGCATCCTTTAATCAGTCATTTCTTGCGATATATTTTATTCTGATGAAGTTACAAAATAGATACAAAATACATTTTTAAAAGTACAGTTAACTGACTTAGAAAAATAGATAAAGCCCCCTAAAGATGTAAAAATACAACATAAATTTTTATGTAAAGAACATTTCAAAATATTTTACATGGTAATCAAGACTAATGGAAATTTTCAATGTAGACCAAATATGGAATATTGCTATATAATAAATCCATAGCACACTGGTGATCCTTTTGGATTTACAGAATACTTGTTTGATAAGGAAAGAAAATCCCAGTGAATTTCAATGTAGTTGTTAGTAAAATTACTGTTACCACATATAATAGCCCCTTATAGTCTGAAATATTAAAACTGAATGCAAAAGAAAGAGCAAAGAATTATTTTCCCTCTTTGCCAGAATTCTGCAATAGTAGAAACCAAATTCACTCTGAGCTGATCTCAGGAGGAATCATATGCCTGTTGAAGGTGCTCAGTGCTTGGGGTACAGGCTGGCATTTTCCAGGCCAGAGTCCCCTCTGACAGGAGACTGCCTCGTACAGTGGGGCAGGGGTGGCCCAGCACTGTGACTAGAGCTGCTTAGAAACACATTTCTCAGATTTGCACTCTTTGGGCCTGATTTGTTTATTCATATGAAATAAAACATCATGCTGGAGGTGTCAGGTTCCTCTTGCCTCTACACTACTAGAGAAACTGTCACTGTTATCAAAGTCATGGTGAAAACAGATTTGCATTTCTTGAGGAAGCACCACATAAGCTAGACCTCTCCAAGTCTAAGATGAACGGAATACCTTGTAAGCTGGTGGCCCTGTAAAATCACTTTATTCACAAGATGAAGAAGGAAGGAAGGGTATATTTGGCTGTAAATACAAAAACAGTAGTATGAGGAAGTTTGAATATTTAAACATTATGGTCCAAGATTTTAAAAGGCCTGAAAATTGAAGCACCACAGGATGACCTGCATAATTTGGCAAGCACTCTCCACCCCATGATTATAATCACAAATGAGGAGCAGACATTGGCTACTGAGAGGAGAGGCTGTCTGCTTAGCAGGGAAAGTGAAGGGAGTGTTGGAGACCCTGGGCTGCGGCACACAAATCAAAAGTGAGAGGAGCCCAGGACACATTCACTGACTTCTTCAAGTGCTTATCAGAGGGTGGCCCTCCAGTCATGTCAGGAAGGTGCCATCCTCTTCCATTCTCTCCCCTTTCTCCAATTCCCCTCCTGCCTCAGAAGTAGACAGTGTAATGTTTAGGTGCACTGTTGGTGAAGCCAGACTGGCTTGGAAACTTATTTTTTTGTTAAAAAAGGAAAAAAAAAAAGAAAAAGAAAGTTTAGAAAAAGGGTATTCCAAGTTCAAAATTACAAATTTCTGATTTATGTCCCACATAATTAAGGACATTATGCTTAGTTGCCTTTACTACTATATCCTAGCATGTGACCTTCTTTGGTTCGTTTAGGGGCTCAGTCGTGAAGAGGGGATTTCTATCATTGAAAATAAATGGAAATCAAGAACCTTTTTATTTGGGAATATTTGAAATATTAGAAAAGATAAATGTCCAATGAGGCAGTTATAGTGGAGATGCATCTAGAAACTTGTTTTGTTTGTAAATAATCAACATTAAATAGGCAAAATGCCTGATACTTGGACCTCTGGGTAAGTTTAAAACATGTTGAATGTTTCATAGAGGGCTTTTCTCTCTTTTTTTTTGGTCCTGGGGATCAAACTTGGGTACTTAAGCTTTCAAGGCAGGTGGCGGAACCACTAACCTAAATCCCAGGCCCCTGTTATCCCACTTTTAGGGCCGGGGATTTAGCTCAGTGATTCTGCCGCCAGCCTTGCAAGTGCAAGGTCCCGAATTCGATCCCCGGGACCAAAAAAAAAAAAAGAGTATCCCACTTTTAAATTCCTCAAACAATGATACATGGTTTCAGCCTAAATAAGAATCAAATACTTCCTTTAAAATCTGTGTATCTTTAAGAATTTATTGAAATTGAGTTATTAAAAATGGAGTTTCTAAGCAATTCTTTTCTTTATAATCTAGTGGAATAAAAATAAGTAACACAAAACCTTATCAAATGTAACCTTTATCAAAGCCATGAGGAGGTTGGTGAGTGTTTTGTAAAAATCACAGCTCTAATACTGACTGCTGATGAAGTAAAGCTTTGCTGGTCTGGCAAGTCTTCCAGGGTACCTGTTAGCCCTCAGTGCATTTAAATAGTCGAGGAACATTCAAATCCAAGGAACCCAATGAAAAAGGCATTTTCCTCACTAAAAGGGAAGATGATGATATCCTAATAAAAAGAAAAATTTCAGGTTTTGACACAAAAAAAATTAGAACAGGATAAAACCTCTATGGAAGTTCAATCCTTTATTAACAGAATGAGATTTTTCTCTATTTTTACTTATTCTGTGTCTCATTTTGTCACACTACTCTTACAAACTAAGTGTCAAGTCATGATAAAAAGCCAGGCATGGTGGCACATACCTGTAATTCCAACTGCTCTGGAGGATGAGGCAGGAAGATCACAAGTTCAAGGCCAGACTGGGAAACCTAGACCTTGATTCAAAAGGGCTGGGGATCAGGGCTGGGGATTGAGCAGTGGTTTCACTGCCTGATGCGCAAGCGCAAGGACCCGAGTTCGATCCCCGGTACCAAAAAAAAAGAAAAAGAACAAAAGGGCTGGGGATGCAGGTCTGTGACAGCACTTGCCTCGCATGCAGAGGGCCCTGGGTTCCACCCCCAGTACCAAAAAATACAAACACAGAGGTAATTTTTTAAAGGAATGTTTTCTTTTACTCTTACCCAAACTGCAAGGCCTCTGAAAAATAATTTGAATGAAAATAGTGGTTTTGAGACCTAAGTTTGTCATGTATTTTTAGTTTGCCTTTTCTCAGCCAAAAGCTACATATTAATTTTAAAAAAGCATTTTAAAATAAAAACCTACAAGACCATCCTCAGAAGCCTAAAAATATTATTTCTGATATATGAATACTCCTAATAATTTAGACAGATGTGAATACAATCCCAAATAAAGATTAAAAAATAAAATCACTTTAAAAATAACTTTGGTTACTCCCATTCCACATATGCCATGATTTAAACTGCAATCATGAGTTCCGAAAAATATATACTCTTCTCTATAAAAACACAAGCATACAAACTTGAAACTAAAAGGTTATCCAAAGTGACAAAGAAGTTCTAATTTTTTTTTTTTTTTCAAACAGGGTCTCACTATGTTGCTCAGGCTGGGCTCAAACTCACAGCAATTCTCCTGCCTCAGCTTCCCATGTGCTGGGATTACAGGCGTGCGCCACCACACCCAGCCTAGAAATTCTAAATCTTTAACGAACTTAAAAATACCTTTTCTATTAATAAAATAAAAGCAGAATAAAACCAACCTGTATTAGGAGATTTGTTCTGGAAACTTACTAATAAATCAATGAAATAAAAACTCTTAATATCCATTATGCTGTCACCTGAGACAGATGCAATAATTTTCGTGAGTAAAAAAATAAGTGAACTAATAAACTACAGGTTAGTCATCATATGTTACAACCAAGTACAACTGACAATAACAGGAGTGCTCGCACAGCACCTCTGATTTGGCTGTGTCCTTACTACAGTTTCTGAAGCTACTAGACAACCTACCTTTGGAACAATTTAATCTGCCACAAAGACAGGGTGTGTCCTTTTATCTTTTATCCTGTCTTCTTACAGTCTGTGTCACTAGTCTACAACAAATAGCAATGAGATAGCTCTAGCAGTAGATGAAGCAAGAGGGTAAGTGTGTTCTAGAAGAAACATTTATCTGTCTTTCGATCCAAGCTTCTCAATTAATTCCTGAAGAGGTGCCAGCTCACGCCTATCGATCAGATTAAACTCCTAAAAACAGAAAAAAAATAAAATTTAAAACTGGACCTAAATTTAAATGTTTTTGAAAGATTCCTAACCCTAGTTTTCTGAAATCCAAAAGAATGATCAAATGATCTCTATGAACATTTCAAAACAATTGTTTTTACTCTTTAAAAACACAGGTACTATCTGGTGATATATACCAGTTTTTCTCCCTGCTTCCTGACATACAGCTCCTAAAAGCTCTGGAATACCTGGAGTGACAAGTCTCTTGTGTGCTAATGTGATGGGTGGGGGCAGTGGGCCCTTGGAGAACATCAGGATGGTGCTGGTCACTAGAAAGACCAAGGCACGACAACTAAAGTGTTGGGACTTTCAGCCCCCACCCCTACCTTCCACCCCTACCACACCAACCTCTAGGGTGGTGATGGTGAAACTTTGAGAGACCTAGTGCGCCTAAACTGCAACCCAAAGCTTACTTATTTATCATAAAGTACCAACACTGCAATTAAACCAAATACTGAGGTTTTAGTTTAGAAAAAACAAATATATTAACATCTTTTGACTTGGCTCATGTGCCGAGAGGGCACTGTGGTACATGAGCCGTAGGTTCATCACCACTGCTCTAGGGAGAGGAAAGGGCTGAAAGGTGAGTCAATCACCAATGGCCAATGATGCAATCAATCATGGCCAAGTAATGAAGTCCTCATAAAGATCCCAATGGACAGGGTTCAGAGTTTCTAGACAGCTGAACATAAGGAGGTTCCCAGAGGATGTCACAGCAGTCTCCATATCGCCTTTCCCACACCTTGTGCTGTATCTCTTCCATCTGGCTAGGCATCTATACCTTCTGTGATGTCATTGAGAATAAGTTGGTGTGTTTCCTAAGTTCTATGAACCACTGTAGCAAATTAACTGAACGCTAGGAGGCTATCTTGGAACCCTGATTCATAGTTGATCTATCAGAAGTACAAATTACTGCTGGCTGGCATCTGAAGTGGGGACAGACTTGTGGGACTGGACTCTCAATTTGTGGGATCTGATACTCAGAGTTAGAACTGAACTGAATCACAGAACGCTTAGGGGGTGTCCACTGTAGAATAGATTGCTTGGTGTATAAGGGGAAAACCCCATACATTTGGCACAAAGTGTTCTGTGTTGTAAGAGTATAGTGGGAAAACTGAGTTTTCCTACATCCTCACAACGGGGGACTTTTTTCTTCCTCTCTCTTTCTCATACTTACACACACACACACACACACACACAAGAATGCAATAATCTTAGAAGATCAGGAAGAGTGTGGTTATGTTTTCTTCTCTGTGTGTACACACAACTGTAATATACAATATTTACTAAAAAAAAACCCCCCAAAAACCCACCAGGTTTTTCTACCATAAATGGTACCTAGGCAGACAAATTTATATTTTGCGTATAGAATTATGAAGGCTAAATGAGTCCTGACTCTCTGATATATCTTTCAAACAATTATTTTTTTAAGTGCAAATTCCAACTAAGCATCCATAAGGCAACAGAGCACATACTAAAGTGACACACCCTAACTGGAGACATGGGGAAGCTAGGGGCTGAAAGCCCAAAAGGGGGGTGATGTCATTTTTTCCAAACTGGGGACTGAACTCAGGGCCTCATACATGCTAGGCAAGTGCTCTACCACTGTGCTATATTCCCAGCCTTTTATCCATTTTTTTAATACTGAGATTGGGTATAAAAAAAAAGAGAGAGAGAGATTGGGTATAAGTTGCCCAGGCTAGCCTCAAACTTGCAAGCCTCCTGCCTCAGCCTCCGATTATAGGTGTCACTAGAGAGCCTGATGCTACTACACAGATCAATAAAACAATGTGAAAGAGGGCTGGAGATTTAGCTCAGTGGTGCCACCACCTGCCTCGCAAGCAGAAGGACCCGAGTTCCATCCCCAGTGCCAAAAAAACCCCAAAAAGCAAAAAACAATGTGAAAGAGAAAACACTACTTATACTTAGCTTCTCTATACTGATAAATAAGACACACTGCTCTTTATTAAGGTTACAAATTCAAGTAAGTCAGAGCCACAGGTCCCAGAAATCAACATGGCTGCCTTACCTGAACAAAGAAAATAAAGTGCTTAAAGGAGGTGTTGAGGTGGGCCTCCTCCTGCAGCTGCATCACAGAATCAAAGTGCTGGTGATAAATATGAGCATATACCCTGAAGAGACGTTTTAGAATTGTCTTTGCCACAGACATGAAGTTTTTGGGAAATGGGACACCTGTAATTAAAACACACATACTTATCAGTCTCTTTAAAAAAAAAAACAAACTAGCTAATAGTTATGCATTTTGGGGGAGTTGTACCTGTATATATCATGTCTTGATCATTTTCCATCCCCGTACTTCCTCTTCCTAGCTCCCCTCCATCCTTTTCCCCATCTCAAAAAGTCTGCCATTTTGTTTCCTGTCATCTCTCATTTATCTTACTTTTACTTATTTATATTTTAAGTTTCTCATATGAGAAAAACCATGCAGTATTTAACTTTCTGTGTCTAACTTATTTCACCTAACATTATGGTCTCAACTTTCATTTATTTTCCTGAAAATGACAAGATTTTGTTCTTTACAGCAGAATAATATTCCACGGTGTACTGTATTTATCTATTCATATATTGATGGGCACCTAGGCTGTTTCCAGAGTTTAACTATTGTGAATTGCACTTAGAGATGGATATTCATGTATCACTGTAGTAGGGTGCTTTTAACTCTTTCAAGAATATATCCAGGAGAGGCATAGCTAGGTCAAATGGATTTCCATTTTTAGTTTTCTGAAGAATCGCCATACTGATTTCCATAGTGGCTGTACTAGTCTTTTACCTAATATTCAGCAGCAAATTTCAACACTGCCATGAGAAACTGCAACACATAAACACACCCACAAACACACACAAGCCTATTACTGTTTATTTAACAGTCAAAAGAAGAAAACCTCCAAACCTAAGTATTTCTCACAGGCCACACGTTTTTCTAATTGCCTTAGATCAGTAGGCAAAAGCATTAATTACATAAGATGCTGCTGGATCGAAGTTAAAATAAACATAATTTTAGTTGTTTAAAATTATGGTTTCTTCTAAGGTTAAATGCAAGTATAAATTTTATTATGAACAGAATACTACTTTTGTAATTTGTTAACTTTTTTTTTTTTGGTACCAGGGATCAAACTCAGGACCCTGCACTTGCAAGGCAGGCGGTGGAACCACTGAGCTAAATCTCCAGCCCTGTAATTTGTTAAAACTACATACACATGTGCATGGACCTACACATGTTCAATTGGGACTGGAAACTCTCCTAAGCAAAGAAAAAGCCAGGTCTACTTCAAGTCATTATTGTGTATCTACAAGTTAAAAGAAGTATTTTCTAAATTCCTCCGGAAAGCTACGTTTCCATGTTCCTGCTACCTAAAAATAGGGTGTACTTCTTTTAAAAAGGGGGGAAGAGGGACCTCCCTATTTTTCAAAGAAAATAAACCCTCTTTATTAAAGAATGAGGAGGGTTTATTGGTCTATCTTAAACAGTGGAGTCACCTCGAGGATGCAACCAGCTACATTCCTGAGAATTTCAGTTGAGATTATCAAAGTCTCTTAGAAAACGAAGACAGGATAAAGACACTCCAACTGGCACTGGCTACAGTAAATAAGCACTAAGAAGGCATCTGCTTCCAAAACAACCTAGGTTAGCAGGCCTTAAGGCCCATTCCTTGATACAACTCTTTTTTTTTTTTTTTGGTACCAGGGATGGAACTCGGGTCCTTCCGCTTGCGCAGCAGGCGGCGAAACAACTGAGCTAAATCCCCGGCATAATACAACTTTTGAAACAGCTTCTTTTTTCAATCTTTCAGAAAAGGGTTACTGAAACACTGTTTTCCCCTTAATTTTATTTTCTTTTTCTCTTAGCCAGCCCTTAATAGCTTGGAAAATTCAGTATACTTCACTGGATTTTGCATGTACTCCTCCAAGTCCTGGCTAACTTGACTTTTCAAATGTTATACAGGAGCACATGGACATTTTTCTCTGAGCAGGATTCTGTATTCACGTACTGAAAAGATATTTTAAAAAATCAAACCCCTTTTCTCAGAATGTACAAATGGGTATTTTGTTAATAACATTAATAACTTGAAGGGCCAAGGATTTAGCTCAGTGGTTCCGCTGCCTGCCTCGCAAGCACAAGGTCCCAAGTTTGATCCCTGTACCCAAGAAAACCAACAAACAAGGGCTGGGGATTTAGCTCAGTGGTTCCGGCGCCTGCCTCGCAAGCGCAAGGTCCCGAGTTCGATCCCCGGTACCCAAAAAAAAAAAAAAAAGAAAGAAAGAAAAAACCAACAAACAAAATTAGTAACTTGAAATATATTAGTAAAAAGTTAATAATAAAGTTATGTCTAGTAATACATAACCAGCAAAAGTAACGTGTGGACAATAGCCTAATAGGGATGGGGGAATTCTAGAACATGAGAATGAATTATTGAAGAACAGGAAGCTAAGAAAAAAAAGATGAAGTCAAAACTATTTTTTATCTCCCATAAGGAAGAGATCTTCAAGAATAAATAATCTGTTTTAATCTAAATACTTTCCAAGCTGTATTTAACACATATTCAAATAGAAGTAATATATAATAAAGAACCTGTGAGAAAGGAAAAGGTTTAATAACAGAATGGAAAAAGTGACCAACATCAGATCAAGTGTAACACTTCATATACATTTTTGCTGACATCACTGTAACTCAGCACTGTTCTGGAAGTATTGGTCAGTGCAGTTAGATAAGCATAAAAAAAAAGAATACATATCAGAAAGAGGCCAAATTAACATTACCTTCATAAGATGAAGTTGCATACTTCAAAAACTTAAGAGATACTGATAGTTTCTCTGGTATAAGAAACTGAAAGTGTAAATAAGGATCAAAATGTATAACAGATAATGTGAAACAAGAAGAAAAGGTCTACAGGGGAAGGGCAAGTGGGAGGAGTAGGGGAAAGGAAAGAAGGGAAGGGAAAAAATATGAGAAAAGGAAAACAATGGAAACAAAGTCTTTGTAAATAGGGACGGGTGGAGGGGTTGAAGGGAGAGCAGAGGAATGGGGAAAAAATAAGAACAAAGATATATCATGTAAAGGTAAAAATTCCCAATGATGAATGTCATCATATTGTATACCTAAAATGTACCAATAAACTTAATAAAAAAAAACTTAAGAGAACCAAAAATTAACAAGATAGAGCCTGACAGTTATAAAAATCAATAGCTTTGCAATATATCAAATAATAACCAATTAGAAACCAAGTATTAATAAAAAATAAAATGCCTAGGAATAAGCCAGGCATGGTGATGCATGCCTGTAACGACAGCACTCAGGAGGCTGAGGAAGGAGGATCGCCACAAACCCAGCTCAGGCTACATAGAAAGTTCAAGGCCAGCTTGAACTGCACAGCGAGACCTTTTCTCAAAAAAACAAAAACGAAAAATAAAATTAAAAATGCCTAGGAATAAACTTGAGAAACTTTAAGGATTAACATAAAATAGAATTTTACAGAGGAAAGAAGACTTAGTAAATAAAAGAATAAATGAAAAATGATCTTTTATTCTTGGCTAGAAGACTCAGTATTGTAAACAAAATAAGAATATATTTGTGTATAAAAATTAGATGCAATCTAAAAACTTTGTTTTTTTACCTTGAGAAAATCATTCTAAATTCTTGGGAAAGAGAAATACCTCATAACAGCTGTGAATATTCTGAAAAAGAAGAGAAAGGAAAGGAGGCTAGCCTTGTAAGATGGCAAAAGATAAGGGCCAGGGATTCAGTTCAGTGGTTCCTGCGCCTGCCTCCCAAGCGCAAGGTCTCGAGTTCAATCCCTGGTACCAAAAAAAAAAAAAAAAGATGGCAAAAGATACATGGACATGTGAATGAAAACTCTGAAATTTCCATAGGAAGTGATAAAGAGATTAGAAGACCCCCAAATATATAGTAATTTACTGTGCACATAAGATAATCGAGAAAAAAGACACATGTATTCAATAAGTGAACTGGAACAAACTGACTAAATTTTTTGTCTGGAAAATAATGAAAGCAGCATTCAGAACAACTCCTGGGGCTAGGGATTTAGCTCAGTGGCACTGCACCTGCCTTGCATGTCCAAGGTCCTAAGCTCGATTCCCGGTACAGGAAAAAAAAGGAAAAGAAAAAAGAGAAAAAACTCCTGATATACCAAAGTGTTAAATGGAAAAGAAATCACAAAAGTGCTAAATGAAAACATAAATATTTTTATAACCCAGAAGCAGAGAAAAATTTTTTCATCAGTATATTAAAACTCTCAAGTCATAAAGAAATAATTAATAAGACAAAATGAGAGATGTACAGAGCAAAACAGTCCATCAACAAATAATACAAAAGACAGTACAGGACAAAATACAAAGAGCTAATATCCCTAACATAGAAATGGACAAAAGATATAAACAGAAAACATACAATGCTCAATAAAACAAAATGGAGTCAATCTTATCAATATTTTAAAAATGTACAGTGAAGCAAAATGTATTCCTCAATTTGCAAAAGACAAAAAGAAAAAATGAGTAGCCAGGGATTTAGCTCAGTGGTTCCAGCACCTGCCTCCCCAGCGCAAGGTCCCGAGGAGTTTGATCCCTGGTACCAAAAAAAAAAAAAGAGAGAGAGAGAGAAAGAAAAAATGAGTAATAATCAGCACAGTAAAGAAAGACAGGCAGACACAAACATACTAGAGGGAGTATATACTGGTACAAACTTTTTTGAGAAGAATGTAGCAGACTCTATTAAAAAACATTTTTTTTTTTTGAGGTAAGGTCTCAGTAAGTAGCCTTGAACTCAAATATTCCTGCCTCACAGGGGCCAGGGTTTTAGCTCAGTGGTTCTGCTGCCTGGTTTGCAAGTGCAAGGTCCCAAGTTTGATCCCTGGTACCAAAAAAAAAAAAAAAAAACTACTCCTGCCTCAGCTTCCTAAGTGTTAGGACTACAGGTGTGTGCCACCATGCCTAACTCTATCAAATTACTTTAAAGTAACAGAATACTGAAAAAAACTACATAATTCAGAAAGAAAAATAGTTCTACAACATTAACTCACCAATCTTAGAAGGAAAAAGAGTTTCATCATCAAGCTGATCCTGAACCCAGGTCATCAAATAGTCGATGTATTTTGGTGCAGAACATTTGATTGGCTTTTTAATATTAGTACCATCTGCCCAGTGATACTCATACCTGGAGATAAATATGTTTTACTGATAGTTTTAAAAAACATTAATAAATGTGGAACTTCACATTTTGTTAATAAAAACTATTTAACTTTAATAAATTACCTAAAGTTCTACTGAAGATTACTGTCAATTCCCTACAGAATTACTCTGAAATGTGCCGGATATAACTGGAAGAGGGAGACAACGTGGCAGCTGCCAGTGCCAGAAGGGCTGTTTTCTTTTTCTTCTTTTTTTTTTTTCATTAAGTTTATTGGTACATTTTAGGTATACAATACAGTTACATTTATCATTGGGATCTTGTACCTTCACATGACATATCTTGGTTCTTATTTTTTCCCCATTCCCCTAACCTTCCTTCACCCCCTCCACCATTTCCTATTTTCAAAGACTTTGTTTCCATTTTTTTCCTTTTCTCATATTTTTTCTTTTCCCCAGAAGAGCTATTTTCTAAGACAGCCCAGGACAGATAAAGGAACTGCACTCCTATCTGCAAGTCAGAAAGGTGCCGAGGGCTGTGTAATGAGGAAATGGATCCTCCACATTCTGAGACCCTTGGCCATATGTTATCATCAGTGGTACCAAGATTATCAAATCCTGGAGATAGTGTTAGAGATATATTTTTTGTAGCCATGCATATTTTTTCCCTTCACCTTTGCTGACCTAGAACAATCGACAAGATTTACGTCAAATTTCTTCAGGCATTTAAGCCATAGATATGTTTATATTTCCCATTTATTTTCTTTTAATGTTTGATGAATGAAACAACATAAAATAACAACATCCCTCTAAAATACTGCAACAAAAATAGGATTAAAAAACTCATTTGGGGGCTGGGGATTTAGCTTATTGGCGCCGCACCTGTCTTGCAAGCACAAGGTCCTAGGTTTGACCAACCCCCAGTACCAGAAAAAAAAAAAAACTCATTGGAGATCTTTTTTTCTTTATACCTATAGAAAAGTCAAAGTATAAGAGAAAAACATTTTGATACTATTTATTGTTACATAAAATCTGTAATTTATTATAAGAAAAAAGACTGTAAGGAAACACCAACACATTAATCCCATCATAATATGACTTAACGTTACAGATGATAAAGAGTTCTATACTCTTTTTAGATTTTTTGAAATTTATTATAGTCAAAATATGTTTTAACCTAGCATCTTTAAGCCAGATAATGATTTCTAAATTGTGCTGCTTTCATTAACACTAAATAAGCACGAGGAAAAAATAATCAAATATTTAAAGACCGACTAAAAACTTTCAAAAATTCATTCAGAAGCTAGCAAGAAACCATCAAATGAAAAAAACAGAAGTTTTGGGATACAAGATAAACATAATTCAAATTTCTACACTTTTATTGCTACAAAAGAACACTCAAGAGTTACCATGATGCAGTATAAAACTCAAACACTACCCACAGAAATAACAGCTATAGGTCAGTATTCATGAACAAAACAGAATCATCTTTACATAAGCAGACATATGATAAAAACAAAAAAATCTATTATTTGACATATCTATCAGTGATAAAGCAAAAGTAATCCCAACACCTCTATAACAGGCTGTCATACCTGGGGCCTGCAGACATGACTGGACAGCTTGCTTCAGTGCAGAATTCTGTAATAGTTCCATACAACATGTTGATTTGATTGAAGAAATCCACAGCTGCAGAGGTAATGGCAGAATTGTGTTAATGTCAGACTTCTCAGTTGAAGAAAAAAAAATGGACAAATTTGTTTTTTGAGATGGGGTCATGCTATATTTGTCCAGGTTGGCCTCAGACTCCCAAGCTCAAGTGATCCTCCTTGCCAAGTAACTGAGACTACAGGTGCATACTCTCATAGCCAATTATACAATTTGATTACAGTAAGTCCCTGACTTACAAATGAGTTCCGTTCCTGGAGAACGTTTCTAAGCTGTACTTGACAAAGTGAGTCTTACACAGTACACCTGTGCAAAGTTCACAACTCAAATGTTCATAAGTCAGGGACTTACTGTATATCCAAGGGAAGGAAAAATCATTAGCTTCTCATCAACCTGAATCAAACAATGATTTGTCAGAAAGAAGGAAAAACGTATTGCAGAATATACTGTGAGGGAGAAGGCATACCAGCTATACCAACAGGCCTTTTAGACATAGATTTCAGCATAAACATTTCAGCACATTGAGGACATAAAAAAAGACAGGATTGAGTCCTTTGCTGTGGGCCCTCCAGCTAACAGAAGGGATAAAATTTCTAAAAATGAGTAATACAGGGCCGGGAATTTAGCTCAGTGGTTCTTCCCCCTGCCTCACAAGCACAAGGACCTGAGTTTGATCGCCAGTACCCAAAAAAAAAAAAAAAAAAAAAAAAAGAGTAATACAAGATAGTGTACAAGAACATAGGATTAAAAAAAAAATCGGATCCACCCAGGTACAGTGGTGCACACCTATGATCTCAACTACTTGGGAGGCTGAGGCAGGAGAACTGCCAAGGTGGAGGCCAGCCTGGGCAACTTGGCAAGACCCTATAAATGAGTATTAATTGATCAATCAAACAATACATATATAGCTAGGGATGTAGCTAGAAGGTAGAGTGCTTGCTTAGCACGTGCGAGTTTAACATCTAGCACTGCCCTTACACAAAAAACAAAAAGGACCAACAGTAAGTGCTGAGGTTCAGGGAAAAGGCAAACAGCTGAGCTAATTATGGAGCATTTCCTAGATGAGCTTCAGCTAGAACTGGAAGATGAAGATGGAGTAATTAATAAACCTGAGTGGGCCGGGGATTTAGCTCAGTGATTCTCCTGCCTGCCTCGCAAGCTCAAGGACCCGAGTTTGATCCCCCGTACCCCCCCCAAAAAAAATCTGAGTGAAGTGTAAGTATTCTGTGCAAAGAGAACCACGAAAACTTGGAAAAGTTTTTTTAAAATACTTTGGTCCTCTAAGGAAACACCGGAAAATCAAGTAGGGTTTTTCCAAGCTTCTTAAAAAATACTTTAAAAAAATTCACTTTGTCAAAAGGAACTTTACATAAAACTCCCTCATCCATAGCCTTTCCTCTTAATTAGTCATGTTTCTAAGAAAGTAGCATGTAAGTCCCCAATAATCATGCAAAATAGGCTGGGGATTTAGCACAGTGGTTTCCACTGCCTGCCTTGCAAGCGCAAGGACCTGAGTTTGATCCCTGATACAAAAAAAAAAACAAAACCATGCAAAATAAGTATGCCCAGATGGTGGCTGGTACTCAAAGTGTGGCACAGGGATTCCCTGTTTCTGGCAGGATCTGTGAGGCCAAACCATTTTTTTGGGTACTGGGAATCAAACTCAAGACCTTGCGCTTTCGAGGCAGGTGGCAGAACCACTGAGCTAAATCCTCGGCCCCCAAAACTATTTTAATTGCTCTTTTCACTCTTTCTGTGAAGAGGTTACAGTGGAATTTTCAGAGATTCCATGATATCACAACAGAGTGAATGCAGAAGCAAATCTGAGACTCTTACAGCCCATTAATCCAGACAGTAAATAAGATTTACAAAAATACAAAACAATGCCTATAATCCCAGCACTCGGGAGGCTGAGGCAGGAGAATTGCCACAAGTTTGAGGCCAGCCTGGGTGACATAATGAGTTTAAGGCCAGCCCTGGTCCAAAAAAAAAACCATCAAAAAACAAAAAACAAACAAACAAAACAAAACCACATTTCTCCCTGAAATTGATTTTGGAGAACACTTTTTTTTTTTTGGTACCAGGGATAGAACTTGGGACGTTGCACTTGTGAGGCAGGGAGCGGAACCATGGAGAACACTTTTTAATAACAATATTTCCCACTTTGCTTCTTCATATAAAATTTAGAATCAGATTTTTGATAACCATTAGATAACTCATTGACATTTTATTGACTGTCTTTTTATTGCTCTTATCAACATTGATAATCCCTGTTCCCCTTTTTTGGATTTTTTTTTGGTACCAGGAATCGAACTCAGGACCTTGCACTTGCCAGGCAGGTGCCGTGCCACTGAGCTAAACCCCTGGCCCTTTTTTGGATTTTTGAGACAGGGTCTCGCTATGTAGTTCACACTGGTCTTGAATAATCATTTTCTTCAGTGCATTGTGATAAAAACCTCATGTGAGCTACATGTGTAATTTAAGTCTTCTCATAACTATATTTAAAATATTTTATTTTTCTTAACTTATTAAAAAGCCATGTTCATATCACTGAAAGAAGAAAAGGTACTAAATTATGTAGTATGTTATCTTTTTTTTTTTTTTTTTTTTTTTTTTGGTACCAGGGATCGAACTCGGGTCCTTGTGCTTGTGCAGCAGGCAGTGAAACCGCTGAGCTAAATCCCCGGCCCTAGTATGTTACCTTTTGTGTAAGAAAGGATAAAGAAACTTAGGAGGTGGGAGACAGAAAAAGAAGTAGTTGCCTATGTGTTGGAGTAGCTAAAATTTAGGGGTTTTTCCCTCAATATTTTTCATATTGTTTTGATATTTGAGCCATGTAAAGTATTATTCAAGAGAAAACTCTTTTAAACCTTTATTTAAATAACCAATGCTTATTACAAAGGCCTCAGATTTTTCTTTGAGACATACTGCTGTAAATCAAATCAAACCGTTTATTTGCTTTTTTGTTTATTTGTTTTGAGACAAGATCTCACTATGCAGTCCAGGCTGGCCTTGAACTCACTATGTAGCCCAGGCTACCCTGGAACCCACAGCAATCCTCCTGCCTCAGCCTCCTAAGTGTGGGGATTACAGTTCTGCACCACCAGGCCTGGCTCAAACCTTTCAGTCCCTTGTTCTCATTTTTTTTCTTAAAAATTATTGAGAATTTCAGAGAACTTTTAACTATAATGTGGCTGGTATTACTATTTTAAATATTTTTATTAAGTTCATTTAAAAATAATAAATCCATTACATGTTAATACTGGAAGACTGACACCCCTCAATTTCAACACTTACTATAAAGTACAGTAACAGAGTCAGTGCAGTATTGGTGAGAGAGCAAATAATTCAATGGACTAGCATGGAGAACACAGAAATAGATCCACATAAATATATAATATTTGACAAAGGAGCAGAGTCAACACAATGGAGAAAAGACAGTTTTCAACAAATGGTACTAAAACTACTGGATATTCATATGCAAAAAGATGAATCTAAGCTGGGCATGGTGTGGCACGCCTGTGATCCCAGCACTTGGGAGGCAGAGGCGGCAGATGGCTCCAAGTTTGAGGCCATCCTGGGCTACATAGCAAAACCCCGCCTCAAAAAAAAAAAAAAAAAAAAAAGATGAATCTAGACACAGACCTTACACCCTTCACTAAAATCCACTCAAAATTAATAATAGACCTAAATGTAAAATGCAAAAAGTACACAACTCCTAGGAGATATGGGAGAAGCAGAGGAGAAAATCTAGGTGACTTTGGGTTTAGCAATGACCTTTAAGATCAAAGGCACAATTTATGAAAGAAGTGATAAGCTGGACTTCATTAAATTAAAATTTTTTGCTCTGCAGAAGACATTATCAAGAGAGCAGAAAGACAAGCAGCAGCCTGGAAGAAAATGTTTGCAAAAGACATATGTGATAAAGGACTGTGATCTAAAATACACAAAGAACTTTTAACTTTCAACAAACAATAAGAAAACAATTTAAAAAATGAGCCAAAGACCTTAACAGATACCTCACCAAAGATACACAGGCAGCAAATAAGTACATGAAAAGATGTGCCACAACAAACGTCATCAGGAAAATGAAAATGAAAATAATAAAACACCACTACTTGGAATGGTCAAAACCCAGGACACTGACAACACCAAAAACTGATAAGGCTGTGGAGCAACAGGAGAGCTCACTCTCACTCCCTGCTAGTGGGAAAGCAAAATGATAGTCACTGTGGGAGACTGATAGTTTGTTTTCTTTTTTGGCACCGGGGATCAAACTCAGGACCTTGTACTTGCAAGGCAGGTAAGGTGCCACTGAGCTAAATCCTCGGCCCCAAAGACCGACAGTTTCTTACAAAACCAAACAGTCTCACCATACATCTGGTCACTGTGTTTAGTATTTACTCAAAGGAGTTGAAAACTTAAGTCCACACAAAAACTTGCACATTGTACATTTACAAAGGCTTTATTTACAATTGTCCAAACCTGGAAGCAATCAGGATATTTTTCAGTAGGTGAATGGATTAAGTGTGATATACCTACAAAATGGAATATTCGGGGCTTAAAATAAAGAGTTATCAACCATGAAAAGACATGGAAGAGACTTAAACATTATTAAGTTTAAGAAGTCAGTATGGAAAAGCTATATACTAATTACAACTATATGACATCCTGGAAAAGACAGAACTATAGAGACAGTAAGAATCAGTGGTTGCCAAAGATTCTGTGATGATATTATAGTAGTGAATGCTGTCATTATAAACTTGTCCAAACCCAGAGAATGTACAAGAAGAATAATGAATTTTATTATAAACTATGAACTTTGGGTAATTAAAAAAATACAACTACACACTACGGAAACATATACCACCAGCTATCAAGTAGTTAGTTGTAGATAAAAACAAAATCAAACCTGAATGATAACCGCTAACATGGTTACCACTAGCCACATATGGTTACTATACTTACATTAAAATTTAATTCTATTAAATTAAAAATTCAGTTCCTCTGTCACATTAGCCACATGTCGAGGGCTAAATAGTCACACGGAAGGTAGAGAACATTCTTACCTTTGCAGAAAGTTCTACAGCACAATGCTGCTCTACATCTAATGTTACAGGAGATAAAAGGAGAAACAGAAAACGATAATGGATGCCCTGGGGATAGAATCAGCAGAATTCATACCATGGAAAACAAATGACCTGGTTTCTTCAACAATAAAGAAAGAGCGGGGGGGGAGGGCAATGGAAGGAAATCTACAGATTAAGGGATTCGAGAAAACACATATACAGTCCCTATTGGATCCTGATGTAAACTAAGCTTAAATTTTTAAAAAAAAAAAAAAAAAGGAAAAATATTAATTAGGACAATCAGGAAAATGTGAACACTGAGTAGATAATTTGATAACATTAAAAGATGATTTTTTTCTCTATGTATGTGTGTGGCATGGGGGACTGAACCCAGAACTTTGAGCATGCTAGGCAAGCATTCTACCACTCACTGAACTACACCCCAATCCTTTTTAAATTTTATTTTGAAACAGGGTCCCAGGCTATTCCAGGCTCAGTTGAAGGCTGGCCTCAAAATTGATCCTCTTGTCTCAGCCTCTCAAATAGCTGGAATTACATATGCAACTCTGCCTGGTTGTCATTATCCTTGTCTTTGGGGATACTTATAGATGAAATAATATGTCTGGGGTCTGCATCAAAATAGTCAGGGGGCATAAAGAAGCACAATTAGCCACAAATTGGTACTTATTGAAGCTGGATAATGGGTACCTGGGAATTCACTGTCCTAGTTTCTCTACTTCTTTATGTCTGAAATTTTTCATTACAAAGTTCCCAGAACTGATCTCACCTCAGAAATCAGAGGGTATCCTAGCCTCAGCACATCATTTTATGTCAAGCTCTTGTTCTCCTGAACTCAGCTCCTGGATCCCTTCATTTCCTCCTAGCCTTTCAATTTCTTTCTGAGCACTGTAACTCACAACAAACAACAGACTGCCCACTGGAACCGCAATGGATTTTTGTGAATGTATAGGTCAATGAATACTGCTGGGGTGGGGATAAAACTGTGCAATGGATTCTTATAAATGCACGGTCCCCAGGTGAAAATCCTGGCATTTACAATCCTTTATTTGACGTTGTTCAGCTCTCCATGGTATTTTCCTCAAAATGAGCCCAAAGCACTCCTCACTTCTCAACCACACAAGCTACTCAGTATTGTGAAGAACACAGTTTTAGATGTATTTCTATTTATGTTTCTTTACAGTTAATCTGACATATTACAATTTATATCTGTAAAAGAAAATCCATTATCAAGATTTTAGCCAGGTGTGGTAGCACACGCCTGTAATCCCAGCTCTCAGGAAGCATGGCAAGAGGATCCTGTGAGTTCAAGGCCAACCTGAACAATGTGCCAACCTGAACAATGTGGAAAGACCCTGCCAAAAACAAAAGCAAAAACAACCACCATTGGTTTCTCTAAACCAATGAAGCTGAACTTACTGTTAACAGCAATCCATTCATTGAGGTCCTCTCCCTCTGGCAACATAACTGCTTGTCTCAGATTTCCACTTCCTAGAGTTGCTTCTGCATGTTTTAAGAGTTCATACTGATGAGACCCTTCAGGGATATTCTTCTTGGGCTTGAATGTTTTAGAAGAGCGGCTGCTGCTGTTGGGTTAAAAGAAAAAATGTATGAATTTTTAGGACTAAAAGCAGAATGACATGATTTTAGGTATAGAAATAAAAATACTCCCTGAAAGATCCCAAGATGGAAAGAGGGGATGATGATCACAACAAAAGAATTTTAGGGCTGAAGGTGTAGTTCAGTAATACAATGCTTGTCCACCATGCATGGGGGCAGGGTCATAGGGGTATTTAATTTATTCCCACACATGAAAGCTGGATAAGTAGCATAATTTCACAAATAAGTAAAAAGTGATATACCCCATGCAGAAGTCTGTCATGGGTCCTTTAACCAAAGGAGAAAAAAACAAACAAACCAGAGTATAGTCTTTTGTCACTAGCTTTGTAACTACCTAAAAAAACCTTACTTTCTTTTAGCCTCGATTATCTACAGAAAATGATAAAGGGAAGGCTCTAACTCTTAAGTTTCTCATTTTCAGGATCCAATTTTCCATATCAAAACATTTGAGATACTATCAAACCATGGTAAAAGAAATACTAACATTTTGAAGTTTTAGTTAGGAAAATGAGATGGACACAACAATTACTGGGGAAAAGTTAAGTTTTAATTTCTATTTCATATCATTCACAAGGTGTTCCTAACATGACACAAGGCTTAGAAACCTTAAAGAAAAAATGAACTTATTTCAAATCATAACAATTAGAATTTCCATAACAGAGCAAACACGTAAGTAACTAAGTAACAAAAAGCACATGCAGCATATGTTACAAAAGATTAGCCGGACAAAAAAGAACTTCTAGAACTTGTTAAAGGAATTCTTTAGAAAAACTGCTAAGGAGAGGAAAAGGTAATTCAGAAGTACAATGATCAATGAACATGTGAAAAACTGTTCAATTTAAGATTTATTTTTCTCTGAGAGTTAACAGAATGAGGCTGGGTGTGGTGGCACACACCCGTAATTCTAGTACAATAGGTGGCTGAAGCAAGAGGCCTGTAAATTTGAGTCCCACCTGAGTAACCCTGCAACTCAGGTAGACAATATCTCAAAATAAAACATTTTTAAAAAGCACTGGGGTTATGCTCACTTCGGCAGCACATATACTAAAAAGCACTGGGGTACACAGCTCAGTGCAAAGGCCCTGGGTTCAATTCCTAGTACCAGAAAAAAAAGTTAGAATGACTACATTGGTTAAGTATAGACTAGGGAATAGAGAAATTAATACATTAATCACTATCTCTGGAAGTGTAAAGTGCTCAACATTGTAACAGTTCCTTAAACCATCCATTCCATTTGTAAATCTCTCTCCTAGGTATGAATAAGGATGTGTTTTCCAAGATTGTTTTTAATAGTGAAAACCTGGAAAGAATCCTAAAGTTTACCAGTACAGGATTAAATAAAGTATGGCACATTTATATCATGTAATATTTTATAGTAGTAAAGAAGGACAGAGAGTAGATATATTCATACAGAAAGATGCTAAACACATTACAGAACCAAATGTACAGCAAAACCTCTTTTAATGCACAGAAGGTATCAGAACAAGGCACCCAAAACTGGTAGTGATATTACTTCTAGGAAGGGGAAAGGAACAAAGTTGTGGTTTTTCACTTTGCTTGAGGAATTTTAATTTAAATTTTTTTTTTTTTTTTTTGGTACCGGGGATTGAACTCAGGACCTTGCACTTGCAAGCAGGTGCTAGAACCACTGAGCTAAATCCCTGGCCTAATTTTTAAAAATTTGAGTAGTATGTATTTGTACTATATGATTATATTCACCGTAGGGAGTTGATACATGTACACAATACATCTTTATTGAACTTTAAATGTGTAAGAAATAAAAAAGAATGTGAAAACACTAAAAATCAAATATGGAAAGTTTTTTAACATGGTAAAGAACCACACTGAATAGGAAAGTACTTAAATTAGAAGGACCAGTCCTGTACACATAGAAATAAGCTGTAAATTACAGGGGACTAAGTATGTAAAACTAATATGAATGATTTCTCAACATTCAATATGATCTTCATCTAAATTAAAACTTTTGTGCTTCAAGTGACATTATCAACCCAGTGGAAATGATCCACAGGATGGAAGAAAATATTCGCAATCTTAGATGTGATACATGGGACTTGTAGCCAATAAAAAACTCTTGGAGCTCGAAAACAAAAAGGCAGCCCAATTTAAAAAGGGACAGGCCGGGAATTTAGCTCAGTGGTTCTGCCACCTGCCTCGCAAGCTCAAGGCCCCCAGTTCGATCCCCAGTACCAAAAAAAAAAAAATCAAATTCTACTTCACACTCAGATGGCTACAATTAGCAAGTGCTAGAGAGGGTGTGGGGAAATCTGAACCCTCACACAGAGCCGGTGAGGACACAAAATGGCACAGTGCTTTGATAAAGTTTGGTAGTTCCCAAAAAGGTTAAACAGAGGTCCAATATAAATCAGCAATTCCACTCTCAGTATATACCCAGGAGATAGGAACACATACATCCCCACAAAAACCTGTACACAAATGCTCACAGCAGCATTATTTAAAATAGCCAGAAAGTGGAAAACTTCGTGTCAATCAACACAGAGTTTCAAAGAAATAAAGCCAAACATTTAGGTCCAAAAGGCAACCACGGTGCATCCACAAATAAATTTCTAGTTAAAAATAAACTCAGACTTGGATGTTCCTTGCGTGTGTAATACTTCCGATAATATGAAAATTAGTAACTAAATCTGTTGTTTGAGATGGGGTGGTCTTGAACTCTTGATCCTCCTACCTTCTGAGCAGCTGGCCTTACAATACAAGCATGCACTACCGCGCCTCGCTTTAAATCATACAGACTTTTTGACATGGTGATCGTGTGTTGGAGACTATACCTTAAGAAAATAATCTAAAGGCAGGAAAATCAAGTACAGACAGATACTTTTAGTAATGCTATTTTATAACAGCAATATACTAGAAAGAATCTGTACTTCTCACATTAAAGAAGTGAGTAAACTCCGGTTATGAAACACTGCAATTCAGTAAAATGTAATTAAAAGTGTCAAGCAAGTGGGTTTCATTCATAACTAAAAATGGTTATTCAATTATATAACAGTTAAGTAATATACAAAGTAGAGAACACTACTTGAGAATAAGGCGCCAGAGCGTCTTAAATCTTAATGTCATCAAAGAATTAAAAAACTTGTCCATTTAAGCCTCGTTTGGGCTCAAGTATCTCTAAAATGGCATTCTATTGAGGACAATATTTACAGTCACAAAATCGGTAAGCAGGCAGAACCAGAGTTGGACAGAAGGGTGTGGCTGCAAGGCTCACACCTAACTTCAAGATTCTCAAGTAAGGCGCTCCACTCTCTCCTGGGGCAGCATTTTTCGAAAAGGGTTAAATTAACACTGGCAATAACGAAACTAAACAATAAAAAAGGAGTAAAAAGACCTAAGTCAGCAAGGATCGGTACCAGAGGATCGAATTTTGAGAGAAACTGGGAGCCCGTAGCCGGACCAGATCCCTCCTCCCTCAGGGGCGCTGGGGCGGAAAAGTTTGGAGGCGCCGCCGGCCTCCGGGCCTTTCAACTGCCCAACAACTAGCTCCGCTTCCTCCGCCAAGACCTTGCCCTCTGTCGGCCCCGCCCCACCTCCAGACATCTCCCCGAACCCAAGCAGGCACCGGGCGGGCTCCGACCACCCGACCCGACCCCGGGACCCCGCCCGAACTCGGACCCCGGCCCCACTCACAAGAGGAAGCTCATCTTCGGTCCTCGGAGGAGAGGGGAGGGGCCGCTGGCCCCTGCCCCGGTCAGGTTCGGAACCCGCGCGGGAACCGACAGTCAGCGGACGATCCCTCAGCTCGCGGACAGAGGAAGCCGGGCTCCGAGTCGGGTTAGAGCAGCTGCTAGCTGGTGCCAACCGCGGCGGCCACCTCTCCCGCTTCCCCCACCCCGCAGACCTGAAATGCGGAACAGCAAAATCTCGCGAGCCGAGGCTTCGCCCCGCCCCGCCCTGCCGAGAAGAACCTGAAGCCCTATTCCCCGCCCCCAGCCAATCACCGTTCTGTAAACCAAGCCTTCCCTCTGCCGGAGGTGAGGAGAGGGCAGCGGGCCCCGGAAGGAGTGGCTGGCCCTGCTCCTGGTCAAGTTTGGTGCTACTGTGTACCCTCAGTTCTCTCGGCGAAGGAGAGGTCTCCGTGAGAACTAGCCACTCCTCCAATTAAAAAAAAAAATTAATATAATTTTAATAACAAGCATTTTCATGGCAAAAAAAATCACCTTCTTAAAATGTACGCTCCACCTAGCATGCATGGAGTCAATCCCCAGCATGGAAATAGACATAGATAAAAATAAAATGTACTCTCCAGTTTTTATGTGTGTATGTATCCACTAAGTTGCACAACCATTATCACTATTACCTCATTCTAGAATATCTTCCTCCATGCCCATTAGCTTTCCTGGCAACCACTAGTCTATTTCATATTTCAATGAACTTACCCGATTTGGACATTTCATATAAATGGAAACATTCAATAAGTGATCTGTTGTGACTGCTGTTAGTACAGTGTTTTAAGGTTCATTTTTTGAACCTTAAAATGACTTCTTTTTTTTAATGAATGAATAGTATACCATTGTGGAATACACCACATTTTGTTTATCTGTCAATGGACATTTGGATCGTTTTCACTTCGTGGCAATTACAAATAACACTGCTATGAACATACACGTACAAGTTTTTGTGTGGATGAAGGATGTATTAACACCAAGTTAACAGCTAAATGACACCCTGGTGGAATGAAGAAAAAAAGGAAATTGTGGGAGACTTGAGTCATACAGCTCAGCAAATGGTGTGGGAGGGCACAGCGTAAAAGAGTTTTGCCCTGTACCTGCCACCCTGATATTCATATTGCTGATTTTACTTCATGCAAACATCACCTGTCATCTCTAAGTTAATGACAAACATCATCATTAATGATGTCAATTTTATTAACTTTTGTAATTTAAACCTGTGATTTGATATAGCTGTGTAGAAGTTAGAAACAAAGACACAGTCATATTTTTATAGTAACATATTATTTAAATAATATAGTTATCGGGCTGGGGATTTAGCTCAGTGGTTTCGCTGCCTGCTGCGCAAGCTCAAGGACCCAAGTTTGATCCCCCGTACCAAAAAAAAATAATAATAATAATAATAATATAGTTATCATAAAAATACAACATGAGTGCCCTGGTGTGGTGGCACACACCTGTAATCCCAGCTCTTGAGAGGCTGAGGGAGGAGCATCACCATGAGTTCAAGGCTAGCCTGGGCTACATAGCAAGACCCTGTCTCAGAACAAAATAAAACAAGAAACCCCATGAGAATAAAAGAATTCAAGAAAGTTTTTTTCACTTTTTAATGGGATTGTTCTTCACGTTGGAGAATTACTAAATCTATGAAAGACCAATTACTTATTAGGAAAACCTTTTGGTAGGGTTAGTTTTAGGGAAGGAAGGAGCAAACTTGAGAGATTATGGAAAAATCCCAGATCAGTATTTGACCAGGCTATCAATATATTCCACCTGGGGATCAAAGATAAGATTTCTCAGTAAGAGAGGGGGAGGGGGTCCAGGGATTTAGCTCCATGGTTTCACTGCCTGCCTCACAAGCACCAAGGTCCTGAGTTCGATCCCCAGTACCAAAAAAAGGGGGGGGGGTAGTACTAATTACTAATTGCTCCCCACCAGACAGAAGCTATACAAAGACTGGGGAAGTTTTATTCCCTCCTTGCCTCGGCCAGACAGAGATCACTGCACAGCAGATGCAGAAAACAGCAGCCATGTGGCAAATTATAAAGCCGCCAGTGCCGCCTCTCCTGAACCTCTATGCCAGGTCCCATCCCTGTTCAGCAGGCAGTCTCCCTCCCCTTCAGTCTTCCTTGGGCAGGATTTGCATCCTTGCGTTTTTATTCCATGTAAGTGTCCTGCCCCATCATTTGCAAAACTCATTTTACCCCAGGAACCTCCCCCATGGAAGGCTCCCTCCCACTGTGGTTGCAGTAAAGTTCCTGTCTCCCAGCCAGGTGCAACTCTCCGGGGCTGAAGTTTTAGACTCTGTCACAGATGAGTGAAAAAAGACAACAAAGTTCTCTGATGTCCCTGCCCATTATCTCAGGACTCAGGTTGCAGACTATGAAAGAGAAATCCCAATTTATCAGACACCGGAAACTCAAAGAAAGAAGCTATATGAAAGTTTCCACTTGAAAATGTCTTTCATCCAAGATCATACCTGTGTTAGCCACATATATCGATGGACAAAACACACGTCTTCGGCTCTCCTAGAACTGACATTCAGTTGCAGAAGATAGCAATTAGTCAAATAATTACAATAGTAGATGATGTGTAGTTACAAATTGTGGTAGCTGCTATGAGGTGTAGGAAACAGGGAAAGGGGACGTTACTAGAACCTCTGCAGTGAGTAGTCTCCTTCGAGCCATGGCAGCACAAGGCAAATTAACTTATTATACAGGAAGGGTAGAAAAAATGAGACTTGGAGAAGAAGCTGAGTGTTGGGGCTGATCAGTGCTGCTCTGGGCAGCAAAAACAAAGCTCCCCAGCTTGCCACACCTTTTATTCAGTACATAGGGAGAAACAAATGTAACAAATGACTTGTACAGAGTTGAGTACATCTGGATAAACAAAGTGTAACAAATGACTGCTTGGGCAGTGGAAATCCAAGAACAATAAGGAACTGAGTAGATGAAGATTTTGTTCCTCCAAGGACGTCTTCAACTGGTGTAATCTTGTCCTGGAGCATCACAGCATCACCAGATCATTGAGGTCTCAATTGTTACCGGAGGCCAAAATGGAATTTTGTCTCGAAATGCCATAGCTGGCCTGTAGGCAGAACTAGGCCTAATCAAATGATTTTTCCCTAAAATTATGTAGCATTGCTCCCGACAATGAGGAAAAGCACAAAATGCATCAAGAGCATTAAGAGAATGTGACAGGCAGGGCATGATGGCAAAGCCTGTAATCTCAGCAGACTGAGAGACTGAGTCAGAAAAACTGCAAGTTTGAGCCCAGCTTGTACAACTTAGTGACATAGCAAGACCCTATCTCATTAAAAAGGGGGTGGTGGGGGTGGAGATGTAGCTCAGTGTAAAGGTCCTGAGTTCAACTCCCAGTATCAAAGACAAAGAACAGCCAGGCATGGTAGCGCACACCTATAATCTTGGGAGCTGATGCAGGAGGATCCAGGAGAGCTTGAGGCCAGGCTGGTCTGCATAGTGAGTTTAGAGCCAGCCTGAACTACAAAGTGAGACTCTATCTAAAAAAATAAAAAGACAAAGAACAAAAGCCAGTGAGGTGGTACAGGATTGTGATCCCAGCACTCTGGGAGGCTGAGGCAGGAGGATTAAGAATTTGAGGCACAGCCTGAGATATGGCATGACACCTTGTCTCAAAAAAACAAAAAACGAGGGGGATTATGACAGCAGAGAACAAAGACATACTGGGGAGTTCAGATGTCATCTAAGCCAAGTCCCCAGAAGATGAGTTAGCTAAATCAAGAGAGAAGAGAGAAGCTCTGCTCAGAATCAATAGGCTGTGCAAAGGCTTTGAAGCAAGCAGGAGTTTGTTACGATCATGGATCCAAAAGAAGCCAGTGTGACAGAATGTGACAGGCAAAGGGGGAAGGAAGCAAAGGGAGATGAAACCAGTCACTGAGAATCTTGACCTATTTGAAAGAAGATGGCCAATATCTGGAAGGCTTTCAGAACCATGATGCCACCTACTCTTTAAGAAGCTGAACCACAAGGCAGTGGGGTGCAGTGGTTACAAACTTACATGCTAACCCTGAAATGCCACATTCAAATCTCTGCATGGATAGTTGGTAGCAGGATGGCCCTGGGAAGATCACTTTTCCTTCATTATGTCAATTTGTAGCTGGGGAAGGTGACCTATAATCCCAGCACGTGGGAGTGTGGGGCAAGAGCATAGCTGTGAGTTGAGGCCAGCCTGAACTACATAGTGATATCCTGTCTCAAAAAGACCAAATAAATAAATAAATGAAAGGCGGGGGGGGGGGGGGAAGCTGAAGCAGTTGAGAGGTCATTGTATTTGTCTGGGCAGGGGATGAAGTTGACCAGGACCAGGTCAATGGGGAGAGAGGTGGATAAAATTGAAATGTATTTTTTTTTTCAGTATTAGGAATTGAACTCAGGATTTTTCAAGGAAGGCACGGTGCCACTGAGCTAAATCCCCGGCCCCTAATTGAGATGTATTTCAGAGAGAAAGTGTGGATGTCCCCCTGAAGAGCTGGATTTGGAGGCCTAGAGGCCGGGCAGCCTGGGAGACAACCCTGAGGGAGGAGTAGCAGAGGGATGAATGCAACCAAACACCAGGGCAGAACAGAATGTTCTCTTCGGTAGGAAAGGCAATAAAAGCAGGCAGAAAGATTAGTTGTGGCTGGGTACAGAGGGGCCTGAGCACCTTCACCCACAGAATTTGGTCTAAAAATCGGGAAACATTTTTCACAAATGCAGTTTCAATATAATACCGTGGGGAGCATAGAGGCAAACACTTTTGTTAAGCATATTAAAAATATATAATAGGGACCGAGGATTTAGCTCAGTGGTTTCGCCACCCGCTGCTCAAGCGCAAGGACCCAAGTTTGATCCCCGGTACCAAAAAA